CATCGATTTTGGAGAAAATCTTAATGGTTTTCGTGATAAAACGGTGGGAATTTATTTTGGTTTTTGTCCCGAATTCGACACTGAAAAAAATTTTTATAAATTTTTCACAAAGCTTTAAATTTAACTTATAATTTTTCGCTCAAAAGTCCTCTAGACCGTCAGTGGTTTTAAGTGAAACTCTCAAAATAGAGTGTCTTTGAGTAGAAAATAAAGCAAATAAAACAGTCAAAACTAAAAAACCACATTTTTTAACAAATTCTACAGTCTTCAGAGAAATGGAGGTGACGAGATTTCGAAATAATCTGTTATAAACTTTCGCTAATTCTGTTCATTTTTTGATAGAAAATTTGATTTTTGTTCCAAATTGGAAGCTGGAAAGCGATTTCAAAACTTCTGACAAAGCGACGAAGGATTCGAAATTTATTTCATAATATTTTGCGGAAAATACTTTAAGACTGTCAGCAAACAAGAAAATTCAGCATTTAGAGAAAAAAGTAACTTGACCAAAACTGGAAAATTCTGAAATTTGAAGACATTTAGAAAATATTATTAATAAATGGCCTATAAAATAAATCTGAAAACGAGTAAAAAAAAGTTATCAACATTTTTTCAGCAACGGAGCTGCGCGGATTACTGTGCTGGTGCGTTGCGCTGGCGCATCAAGCCATTTGCATAGCATTGCGTTAACTCCTAAAAATTCACTGAGTTACCCAGGCCTACACTCAGACACAAGAACATTTCTTTGCCTTAGTGGAAAAATGTTGAAAGGTTAATAGACTGTTGTATATACAAATCTTGAGATAAATGACCAAAGATTGTCAGCATTTTTAAGTGATACTTTACAAAATTGAGCATTTAGAAGAAAATGTAACTTGGCTAAAACTGGAAAATTCTGAAATTTAAAGACATTTTAAAAATATTATTAATAAACTGTCTTTCAAATAAATCTAAAAAAAGCCCAACATTTTCCCAACAACGGAACTGAGTTACTGCGCCGGTGCGTTGGGTTGGCGCACCAAGCCACTTG